GTTACTTAAATTTCAGGAGTTTTTTTTTAGGTATTGTTCTGGTTTTACTTTTTTAATTTCATCGTCTGGGGTTTAGTTAAGATTGTCTTTTACTATATCATTTCATTGGGGTTTTGAGATGTCTGTTTTACTTAAAATTTTTTCATGGGTTTTAGGTATATGTTTACCTTTTAAATTCATCTGGGGTTTTAGTTTTATTTGGTGTTTTACCTAAATTTCATGGGGGTTTTAGTTATTGTCTTTTTTTTTACTTAAATTTCATGGTTTTAGTAATTGTCTGTTTTACTTAAAATTTCATGGAGTGTTTTAGATTGTTTTTATCTTAAAACTTTCAGTGGATGTCTTTTTAAGTATCTTTCGTCCTGTTTACGTTAAATTTAATGGGGTTTGTATTGTATTGTTTTTACTTTAAATTTCTCATGATGGGGTTAGTATTTGTTTTACTTAAAATTTTAATGGTTTTAAGTCTATCGTGCTGTTTTACTTAAATTTCAATGCTATCGGAGCCCCTGGTTTAGTATGGTCTTGTTTTACTTACTCTTATAAATTTCATGGCTGATTTTAGTAGTAGTTATTTGTCTTTTACTTAAATTCCATGGGGCGGTTTTAGTATTGTTTTACTTAAATTCATGGGCGTTTTAGTAATTGTCTGGTTTTTTACTTAAATTTCATGGGGTTTTTAGTATTGTCTTTACTTAAATTTCATGGGTTTTTAGTATTGTTTTACCCTTAAATTTATGGGGTTGTAAGTATTGTCTGTTTTTTTCACTTAAATTTTCACGTGTGGGTTTGTTTCTTAGTATTGGCTTCTTACTCTATTAAATTTATGCATGGAGTATTATTTGTTTTTTTTTTCTAGTATCTAGCTGTTTTATTTACTTATAAATTTCCATGGGGTGGGATTTTTTTTTAGTATTTGACTTGGTCTTTTTTTTTTTTACTTTAAATTTCATGGGTTTTAGTATTGTATTTACTTAAAATTTCATGGGGTCTTTTAGTTTTTAAAAATTTGTTTTTGTCTGTTTTTCTTTATGTGTGGTAATTTCGATGTGTGGGTTTATTGTTATTGGGTGTTTTACCTTTAATTTCATGGGGGGTTTTTGTTAGTTATTGTTTTACTTTATATCTTATCGGTTTTTAGCTGTATCTTCGTCTTTTCTACTTAATATGGTATTTGTTTTTTAGTATTATCTGTTTTTACTTAAATTTTTCATGGGGTTTTTGTATTGTTTTACTTGAATATTTTTCATGGCGGTTTTGATGGGTGAGTAGGTGTTTAAGTATTTGTCTGTATGTTTTTACTTAAATTTCATGGGATGGCTTTTAGTATTGTCTGTTCTTTAGCCTTTAAATTCATGGGGTTTTAGTATTGTCTTTTACTTTAAATTTCATGGGGTTTTACGGGTTTATATTGTTCTTTTACATTAAAATTTCGATGGGGTTTTTATAGTTGTCCTTTTTACCTATAAATATCTATGCGGGTTATTTAGTATGTCTTTTACTTTGAAATTTCATGGGGTGGGCGTCGATTTTAAGTAATTTTCTGTCTGTTTTACTTAAATTCATGGCGTGGGGGTTTTTAGGGAGGTGTGTGTTGGTTCAGCTTAAATTTTATTTTGGGGTGTTGTTAGATCATCTATTTTTACTTCAATTTCAGGGGTTTTTGATTGTCTTTTTTCTTTAAAAATTTCATGCGGGTTTTTAGTTATTAGTTCTGTTTTACTTGAGAATTTGCCTGTGGTTCTTTAGTATCTGTCCTGATTTAGTTAAATTTTATGGGGTTTTAATTTGTTTTCTTTTTTACTACTTTATTTTAATTGGGTACATAATATTTTATTGTTTTTATTAGGGTTTGTGTTCGTAGCTTTCAACATTAACCGCTTTATGGGGTACATGTATTAAACTTTGCAGGTTTTACTGCTTCTGCTTTTATTTATCTAGGTTTCATTTTATTCTTTTCTCGAAGAATTTACATCTTGTTCAATCAGTTGTAGTTAAATGTGTGTTTTTTTTTTTTTTTAGCGGGTTTTTGCTGTTCTTTTTTCTGATTTATTTCTCAGTAGATTTTTAATTCTACTTTTTACTCTTTATTTGCAAATTTTTGTGTTAGTTGTTCTTGTTTGTTTGTTTTATAGGTCTGGCCTACCAGAGTAACCCATTTATTTTCAACGTTTTTTAACACATTGTTGCCAATTCTTTTTTTTGTCTAATTTAATGATTTATTAATTTTTATGAATTGTAGTTTTACCAATGGCTCTTTTTTTTAATATTATTTATTTTATTTTTTATTTTTTTATTCACACTTGATATTTTTTTTTTTTATTATTGTGTAAGTATAAAGTGCTAACTGTGGAAAACTCCTTTTTGTATTTTGGTGTTTATTATCAACTGTCTTTTTAAATATTTATTTCTTGGTGTGCTGCCTGGTCGTTTTGTGAACCTGGTTTGGTAGTGAAAGACAATCTTGTCAGATATGGTGTGTTGATATTAGCCGCCCAGAATCAGCGTGTTTTTTTTGCGCACCCAAAAAAAGCTGACAGAGTACACATTTTTTCACGTTCCATGTGGTAAGGGTTGATGGGCCGGCACGGCATTTTTTGCGATTACGCGGCACTTCGGCCCTCACAGTTCGCAGGGGTGCTCTCCCGCCCTCTTTCATCCTCTTTGTCCCCTCTCTCTCTCTCTCTCTTTCTTTCTTTCTCTTCTCTCTCTCTCTTCTCTCTCCTCTCTCTCTCTCTCTCCTTTCTCTCTCTCTCTTCTTTCTCTTTCTCTCTCTACTCTTCTCTCTCTCTTCTCTCTCTCTCTCTTCTCTCTCTCTCTCTCTCTCTCTCTCTCTCTCTCTCTTTCTTTCTTTCTTCTCTCACTCTCTCTCTCTCTCTCTCTCTTCTCTCTCTCTCTCTATACTATATATATATATATATATATATATATATATATATATATATATATAATATATGGCCCCGCAATAGACCTCCGCAGCCAGGGTTCTCGCCACCGACCTGGAGGAACGCAGGACTTGAGGCCGAACCCCGCCCCTCCCGAGCCAGAGGGGGCGGGGGTTCGGCTCATATATAGTGCTGCCTGATGCCCGCGGCGGTTTGCGACTTGTGTCCTCGAACTTACCATCATAATATTATTGTTCTTTGATGATGATGTCACTGTTATCAGCAATCTATATAACCATCATTACCTTTATTTTCTATTTTTTTTTGTTTACTGCTTTCATTCAGTTGGAAGCCCGACTTAAGGACCGTTTGGTGCTGACCCGCATGGGGGGGGGGGGAGGGAGAAAAATCGAGAGAGAAGAGAGAGAGAGAGGGGGGGGGGGGTGGAGGAAAATCGAGAGAGAAAGAGAGAGAGAGAGGGTGGAGAAAAAAATCGAGAGAAAAAGGAGAGAGAGAGAGAGGGGAGAAAAGAGAGAGAGAAAGAGAGGGGGGGAGAAAAATCGAGGAGAGAAGAGAGAGGGGAGAAAAATCGAGAGAGAGAGAGGAGAGAGAGAGAGGGGCGGGTGGAGAAAAATCAGAGCAGAGAAAGAGAGAGAGAGTGGGGGGGGGCAGAAGAAAAATTCGACTAAGAAAGAGGAGAGCGTGGGGGGCGGGAGAAAAATCGATAGGAGACAGAGAGAGAAGAGTGGGGGGGAGAACAAAATCGATCAGAGAAAGATGAGAGAGAGTGGGGGGGGGGGAGAAAATCGAGAAGAAGAGAGAGAGAGTGGGCGGGGGGAGAGAAAGAGGAGGAGAGAGGGGGAGAAAATCGAGACGAGAACAAGAGAGTGGGGGGAAAAAAGAAAGAATAATACCGATAAAACACGACGAAGAGCGAGTGCGGGGGGGAGAAAAATCTGACGCAGAGCAGAAACGACGAGAGCAGAGTGGGGGGGGGCGAGACAAATCTGTTCGAGAGAAAGAGAGAAGGGCAGAGCGACAGCGGGGGCCGAGAAAAATCGACGAGAGAAAGAGAGACGAGAGAGCGGCAGGAGGGAGAAAAATAGACGAGAGAAAGAGAGGACCGAGAGAAAGATGCCCTCGAGAGAGAGAGAAGAGAAAGAGAGAGAGAGGGAGGGAGAAAAAATCGACGGAGAGAGAGAGGGGAGAGCAAAATCGAGAGAGAAAGAGAGAGTAGAGAGAGAGGGGAGGAGAAAAAATCGAGAGAGAGAAAGAGAGAGAGAGAGGCGGAGGAGAGAAAAATCGAGAGAGAAAGAGAGAGAGAGAGGGGGGGGGGTGAGAGAAAAATTCGAGAGAGAAAGAGAGAGAGGAGGGGGGGGGAGAAAAATCGAGAGGAAGAGAGAGAGAGAGGGGGAGGGGAGAGAAAAATCGAGAGAGAAAGAGAGAGGGAGAGGGGAAGAAAAATCGAGAGAGAGAAAGAGAGAGAGAGAGAGGGGGGGAAGAAAAATCGAGAGAGAAAGAGAGAGAGGGGAAAAAATCGAAGAGAGAAGAGCAGAGAGAGAGAGAGAGGGGGGGAGGAGAAAAAACCATTGGAGAGAGTGAGAGGGGGCGGAGAAAATCCGAGAGAGAGAGAGAGAGGGGAGGAGAAAAATAGAGAGAGAAAGAGCCAGGAGAGGGGTGGAGAAAAAATTGAGAGAGAAGAGAGAGAGAGAGGGGAGGGAGAAAAATCGAAGGAGAAGAAAGAGAGAGAGAGAGGGGGAGAAAAAATCGTGCGAGAAAGAGAGAGATAGAGAGGGAGATAATCGAGAGAGAAGAGAGAGAGAGAGAGGGTGTGAAAAATCGAGAGAGAAAGATGAGAGAGGGGAGGGAGAAAAATCGAGAGGAGAAGAGAGAGAGCGAGGGAGAGGGGGGAGAGAAAATCGGAGAGAAAGAGAGAGAGGAGAGGGAGGGGGTGAGAAAAATCGTGCGAGAAAGACGAGGAGAGAGAGAGGGGGCGGGCAGAAAAATCGAGAGAACAGAGAGAGGGAGAGGGGGGCGAAGAAAAATTCGATGCGACAGAAAGAGAGAGAGAGAGAGAAGGAGAAAAATCGAAGAGAGAGCAGAGAGAGGACACAGATGCCCAGTCGCAGTTCCAATCGCAACATGCAGGCGTATGGCGACTCTCCTGAAGGCCCGAGCAGTCACACCGTCCACCGCTACCTGTCCCCGTTTAAAAATTAGCTATCTGCCAGGTAATCACCAGTCGTCACTTCTCTCCTTGTCTGGGCTTGATATTCTTCATTTCTATATATCAAACAGTTGGCACAGCTTAGCAATGGCCAAAATTTGAAACTTACACGTTAAACGACATCTAGTATTACGATGAGGGGTTCAGGTAATTAGATCGGTTACTGAACTGAGAAACAAAAAAATTATCTCTCTCCCTCTTAGTCTTCTCTTTTCTTTCCTCTTCCTCACTCTCCCTCTTCCTCTTTCCTCTCCCCTAATCCCTCTACCTCCTCCCTCTCCCTCTCTTTCTCGTAGAACCCTGAGTTCTTACTCTTTCTCCTATCACTATCTTTAATATATCTCAATGTTTTTTTAGAAAACAACAGGACAGAGAATAGAAGAAAAAAAGAAACAAGGAAGATCAGAGATAGATACCAAATATCAATCCTTTTAATTTTCCATGAACATTGCAGCAAACGAGACAAGAAAATTCCATTACTATTAATTGTTAAATTCTGAACCTTTAGAGGATAACTATTAATAATCTATTGTGAAAATGATGTCGCATTTGAACGGGACTATCCTATGAATTTACCACACTGTGTCAAAGAGAGATGAGAGCAGAGAGAGGGAGGAATAGAAGGGAGCAGGGAGAGGGAGGGGGAGGAGGAGGGGAGGAGAGAGAGGTGGAGAGAGAGAGCGAGAGGAGAGATTGAGAGAGAGAGAGAGATGAGAGAGAGAGAGGAGAGAGCGAAGAAGAGGCACGCGAGAAATAAATAAATTAGAAAAGCGACAGTGGACTCTGCGCATGTTCCTTCATTCCCAGGTTTCGACACCAAACTCTCCAAACCTTCGTGTTCTTCACTTTCTTCCTTCCTCTCAACTTCGATAATCCTCCCCCCACTCTTCCTCTTGGCTCCCTCTCTTCTCAACTCTCTCCCTTTCCATCTTCATCTTGGCTTCCTTTTCCCTTCTCTTCTTCAGCTCCCTGCACTTTTCCCTCATTCCTCGTGCGCGGCTCCTTTCCCCCTTCTCTTCTCATATCTTCTTTATATCTCTCTTCTCGGTTCCTCTTCCCTCTCTCCCTCTCCTTTTCCTTTTCCTCCTTCCCTCCCTCCCTCTCTCCCTTTTCCTTCCTCCCCCCCCCCCCCTTTTGCCCCCTCCTTCCCTCCCTCATTCTCCCTCTTCACCTCCCTCCCTCCCTCCCTTCCCTCCTTTCTCTCCCTCCCTCCTTTCCCTCCCTTCCTTCCTTCCCCCCTTTGCCCCCCTCCCTCCCTCTCTCCCTTCCTTCCTTCCTCCCTCCCTCTCTCCCTCCTTCCCTCCCTCCTCTTCCCTATCCTTCCTACCCCCCTTGTCTTCCCTCCCTCTCTCCCTTCCTTCCCTTCCTCCTTCTCCTTCCTTCCCCTTCTCCTCCTCCCCCCCCTTCCTTCCCTCCCTCCTTCCCATCCTTTCCCTCCCTCTCTCCCCTTCCTTCCCTTCCTCCAAGGGACCACGAGTGTCCCCCCACTCCGCCTTAAACAAGATTTCGGCTAACGAGGTCACGCTGACCGATGAAAACATTTGGACCTGTCTTTGTTCTGCGANAGGGAGAGAGAAAGAGGGAATGTACGAAAGGGAGGGAGAAAGAGGGAAACGGAGAGTGGAAGATGGAGGGAGGAAAGGAAAAAGAGAGAAGGAGGTTGGAAGAGGAAAAGAGGGAGAGGGTGGGAGGAAGAGGGATTGCGAGAGGGAGAGAGAGAGGGAAAGGAGAGGAGGAAGAGGGACAGGGAAAGAAAGAGGGAGGGAGGAAGAGCGACAGGGAAAGAGAGAGGGAGGGAGAGGTGGAGAGAGAAAGACGGAGGGAAGGAGAAAGAGAGGGAGGGTAGGAGGGAGGAAAGGGAGGGAGAGAGGATGAGACAGTAAACGGGTGGGTGAACACGAAGAGAGAGAGAGAGAGAGAGAGAGAGAGAGAGAGAGAGAGAGGAGAGAGAGAGAGAGAGAGAGAGAGAGAGAGAGAGAGAGAGAGAGAGAGAGAGAGAGAGAGAGAGAGAGAGAAGAGAGAGAGCGAGAGAGAGAAAGAGAAAGAGAAAGAGAGAAAGAGAAGAGAAGCAGAGAGAGGGAAGGGGGGCGGGGACAAAATGACGCAGTGAGAGCACATCCCGCTTATGTAGACAAAGCATAGATACAAGAGAGCAGAATCATAATTAAACAAAGGTTAGGCCTATAGTCGAGGCAATTAATTAAAATACATCTCTAATGCCCGCATTTAATTAATAATTATCGCTGTTGTGGCTGGATACATTTTTAAGCTTTAAATTATAAAAAAAAACGTTAAAACCATAAAAAAAAACAAAAGCACATACTTCTCATAAATACAAAGTTTAATAAGCTTCTTTAATCATTTTGAAAGCTTCAGCAGCATAAGCAC